TTAACATGTTTCTCCATGTAACCAAAACTTGTTACGTTCTAAATAGACTTCTTATCTAAATCATATTAATATTTTAGATTATGCTACATTAGCGTATAACTATGTCAATTTTTATTGTTTGCTATATTAGCATGTATGTATATTAGGCACATGCCATTTAATTGATGAAATACCTTTGCATGAAACTTTGTGCATTCTGTTATACTCTTAACTAAGATAACTGTGATATAACCTTATATATGTCGATTGCATCAATATATAAGTAACTTTTAACTAGCACATGTATTTTACTAGCAAGATTACCATGTTTATTTATATATCGATTGCGTAAATATGTTATTTTATCTAACACATGTATTTTACTAACAAGAGGACCATGTGGAAGATTAGCCTTTGGCTAAACATGTATTTTATCCTCAATAAATAAAGTTTATTATCATTATTATTATACTAATGTTATATCACATCTTATCGAATAGTACTTAAATGTCAAAGCTACAAATTAGTGTGTGTTAATTAGTATGTGTGACAGGTAATGACAAACTGATGATATTCTTAAACTGTGACTTCGTGGATACTCATAAACTTATGAAAATATATTATTCTGAATGTGTGTGTTTGTACATGTAAACGTTTGCATGACTGCATGGATTTGTTCATGTACATTGCGGCGATGAATAGCAGAAGCTCCTCAGAAGATATGTAAATCATCAACTGCTATTCATTGCCACAACGTACATGAAAAAAATCCATTCAATTCATATATTTACGTTACGATGAACTACAATAAAAAAAAGTTAGAACATTTTTTGTAAATTTAATATTTTGGATATTAGTATCGGACAGAAAACCATAAAAAAGGAACAGCCAGAACTCAAGCCTACACACAAACTTCAAATGTTCGACTAAAATTATATCTAGAATCTAATATAAACACTCGATATTCCTTTCATTTTTTAAAGTTGATCTTATTTGATGTTTTTTCTCATTAAAAACTGCATATTATATATTCAAAAAAAGTGTATGTCCGCACTATTTCAAATCATCGGTCGCCATAGTATCTCGGGTGGTAATACCGACGGCCTTTATTTAAGTACTTTTCAGAAAATTGTTAGCAAGAAAATGATACCGTTTTTTATTTGTTTCACATTAAGCTGCATAAAAAGTTGCTTTCTTGTCTTATCCGAGATACGACTTATGATTATTTCTCAAAACAAGCTGTAGCTAATCCCTGACTAATTCCCTTTCTATTCCCTAGGCCCTATACCCGCTGTACCATAGTAAACAAGGATAAGTTGTCTTACTGCGAAGACAGGTGCTCTTTGGCTTCTATTGTGGCGCGTCAGGAAATTAAATAAATTAAACGAATAACTTTAAAATTATTAAGCAGCCTGCAAAAACTTCGCCTATTTTTTTAAAATTAAACTTTAACATTCTTCGTGGAGATATGTCACTGACTGTACTTTGGAAGCGACCCGCCATTTGACCTATACATATTGGTTATCACAAGAACGACTTTGGAAGCGACCCGCCATTTGAGCTATACATATTGGTTATCACAACAACGACTTTGGAAGCGACCCGCCATTTGAGCTAGACATATTGGTTATCACAACAACGACTTGTTCTGCTGTACGATTATTAAGCATAATAAGTTCAGAATCCAAATGTCAACCTTCCCGAGCATAGTATCACCTCCACTTGTATCATAGTTAGAGCGAAAAACTTATTAATTAAAGAAAGGGATTTTAGTGGTTATGAGTATATTCAAAGAATCAGATACAATCACGGACTTAGATATTATCTAATTCCCTGATACAATAAAACAAATAAGTCAAAGTCAAAACACAGTAAACAGAGAATCATACATTATCGCATGGTGCTTGGCTCAAAATAGGTTTTTTGAAACTTCGTTTTGTTTGAAGATTCGCATTTGTTGCGGAACACAACTCGAAAATTCCCTTTTTAAATCATACTAAATTTGATTTTATCATAACGTGTTTACAATAGACATTTTTTGAATGCTTAATATATATACTTAAAATGAGAGGACAACTACCGATTAGTTTTTTAATAATACCAGGGATAAGGCAAGGCTGTTTAATTTCACCGTTTATGTTTTTGCTTTGCCTCGACATGATGATGAATACATTGGACGTTCACAAAAACCTCTAGCGATAATGTATTTTAGATTTTACCAATGGTGTCGGCCTGCCAAGCCATAAATAACAATCAATCAATCAATATTTTATTATGGTGTCACGCATCATTAAATTCATAAACAATCATTTATAAAATATCATATACAGCGAGTTTATATAAGATGCCCAGCCGATATCGGCTTATCATACACTTATAACTATTTGTATGTATATCATGTGTAAAATGAAAATGAAGACCTAGCATATATGCAAATAAAATATCCTCATAGAGTATTACATGTAAAAAACTGATAGAATAGTAGAATCACATATCTTTCTTCATCACATTACAGTTAAATCAATATTGCGATACATTATAATTTACAATTGTATATTTACACATTTAAAAGCGACCGCCTCCGTCTCATCATGAAGGAAATTGTTTTAGAAAGTGAAAATTGAAGCGCATTATCCTGCAGTAAATAAAACAACTTTTCAGTTGAAGTAAGTTCATTAATATAACTAAAGGAGTTCACTGTGTTTTTGAATAGATCATATCTGATATCACTATACAGAGGACAGTCACAAAAGAAATGAGACTCATCTTCCACTATATTTAAGCAAAAAGGGCATTTCCTTTGCTCTACTGGCAAGTTACTGTAGCGTCCAGTTTCCAACATTAAGGGGAGACAACCGAGTCTGAGTTTAGCGCGGTTGCTCCGATTGTGACGTGGTATAAGTGACGTTATATAATGTTCCGTTATCTTGTCCTTTTTATATCTTCTGTATGTTCTTAGTTTACTACTTGCAATTCTGTCGTTCCATAATTTCGAGAACCAAAATGTTTCGTCATTCCACGGACTTAGATAACTATCTAATTCCGTGGTCATTCCTGTTAATGGAACCACGGACTTAGATAATTCTGTGATGGAACTGGTAATTATGTGTATATCTCTGTAGTTTGGTTTTAACAGATACGCGAGTGTGAAGTATTTTTGATACCTTAAGTTTGTTTCCTAAATTTCGGACACGCCCTTCCTACGAGTTAGGTTAGGTTTAAACATGCGAGTATCGTGCTGTTGAGACATAATGTATAGCTTGAAACTTGAAGAAGAAAAAAAGCCCTATACGTCATTGCTGATCCGTAAATATGCACAAATCACATCGGTTGGCAAACTTAGCATGAGCATAAGGAACTTGATTAAAACAACTTAACAATATCTACAGCAATTATCACACGAAAACCAAAGAGTGCCGGAGATGAGTGGAATAACAGAGGAACACAAACATTGTTATCAAGTTTGAAGGAATTTGGCTAATATTTGCTAGAGTTGTTAAGCGGAAACTGCAGATAATGACGTTTTTCGTTAATCAAGGGGCCATACCTCTGCCAAATGGAGTCCGATTAAAGTGGTTGTCAAACTTGGCCGAGCCCTTAATGCGTTGAACCCTATTACCAAGTTTGAAGACAATTGGATAATATTTGCGAGAGCTAATGAACAAAAACGAAGCGCGGCAGATAATGACGTCTTTCATTATTCAAGGGGCCATAACTCCGCCAAATGGGGTCCGCTGAAAGTGGTCGTTGAAGTTGGCCGAGCTCTTAGGGCATTTAACCATGTGACCAAGTTTGAAGAAAATCGGTTAATATTTGTTGTAGCACGGAATTAGATCTAAGTCCGTGGTTGTAGTTATTGCACAGAGAGACAGACAGACCCAAATTGATATCCCCCGTTTCGGTGAAAGCGGGGAATAACTAATATCATGATTCAGTCTGTGGATGAGCTGAAGTTCGGTAAAATATTACAAATATTGTCTGTCAGGTCCAAGTGATTACATAAGAAGACTTTGGAGTCCCACATATGTTGTCAGATTTACAGCAAAACAAACACATGAACATGCGTTAATTCTTACGCCCCTTGACCTGTAATCATAATCATAACATATATATAGTCCACGTTATATAGTCTCATATACAACTCAACTCGCAGAATCAACTCAGGGAAAAATAGAAATTGTAATAATTCACGGATGTCCGTACTATATCTAATTTAAGATATGACAAAAAAAAGTCTGCGTATATTGACAAAAATTTCAATTCTAAAATTGTATTTTAGTTTCTTTTAAAGGCCTCGGACCCCAATGGAAATAAGCTTTTAGCTTTTTGGGTTATCCTAGGTAAAAGGCTGCAATTTAGATAAAAATATCCAATCTATTTGATCTCATATAAGTTAACCAGTGCTTAATGTTGTTATTTTAAGATAGAAGTACTTTTTACTGTAATATGCCTATTTTTACCTGAATAAATATTATTAAACGCTACTTCTCACGACGTCTTGCGCTTTAAATGGTTTTGAATGGTTACAGGTTTACTCACTTACGGAATTCTGTGGTTTACTAAAGTAATTTTCTATTTCTGTTTTATTTTATTAATGTAGCTTTATTTGTCGAACGATTCGGCGAGTGTACTTAACTCAGGGTAACTACTGTGAAAATATGTTGAATATTAATTATACAATCTCATAATTAACAAAAAAATCCAGCAATCTGTTGCATGAATATCCTTGGTTGGTAAAGTCATACCCCGACAAAAATTCCAGAGTTTTATAAAATCGTAGTGTTGTGCCGTATTTACTATGAAAGTGAACATATGACGTACTTCCTATCACCCCCCGCACCCTAGCGAGATGAAAGATAAAGACACAGGGATAAATATAACTGAGAACAGGTCGATACCAGTCTATAAGTTGATTTCATTAGCAACGGGCGCGCTCCCATACCCACGGCAATGGGCGAGAACTATCGTCAGTGTGACGTCACAACTATCTAATGAATATTCAATACGCAGCAGCCATCTTGCTTGAGCCTAACAAACAAATCTGTCACCGAGCATGTTGCCTGTATAGGTCTGTCTTTTTACTGGATCTGTAACTCTTTACTACCTACTAACCCTTCTTATTTAGCATGGGGATGTGGTGAAGGGTTTAAGAAACGCATCTAACATGCTTTTAGGCGTGATTTTGCTGGTTTGTGGTGTTGGACAGGGATTAAGTTATGGGGCACCGCTTCACAGCCAGTTTCCACTGGGTACCGTGGGTAAGTATCTTTCAACATCTGCAGCTGTGTTGTGGTTTACTTGTGGTCATTTGATGTCGTGTCTGTGTCCTAATGGACTTAGTTATATGTACCCCGGTCGTATATGTACCTGTCATGGAATAGCCGGTCGTTTTGGACCTGAGAACCGATATTTATATCATCAGGTGAAACGGGCACCAAGAAGCCATTGTTGTGGAGATGATGATGCTGACCCAGGTTGACATTTGACCTCGTGTATATTTGCACGCGCCTGAAGCTCGAGCTAATTAACAATACCAATTAACACTGTATTCTGAATTATATTTCTATACTTATTTTCGTGTGTGGTATGCACATTACCCTGCCTGCTTAACACATAGTAACTACACTTAATACCACCCTATGCTTGATGGTAAATGGTGAATGGCACGGTATCAAGGACTAAACATATAGTAATAACTACTAGTAGTATTAACTACTTAATACCACCCTATGCTTGATGGTAAATGGTGAATGGAAATATGGTATCAAGGAATATTACACTGACACTTTATCCTTTGATTAGAAGGTATTTTACTAATATATATCATATATCACCTAACGAGAGACATCATATGAAGACACTAATATCTCATTTCAGTTACTAAATGATAAATTATGATAATAAAATTATTTTTATGGAACATTACACATTTGTTTTGTGTTGATAATAATGGTTTGTTTTGTTTATTGGAATAAATTTGAAGAGAATTGTATATAATTTAAAATATATTAAATATATAGGTTTGACGTGAAATAATAAGGAGACCCAAAAGTACTTTTATCAACATTGTTTTTAAAGTTGTGGGCCTTCATATATTATAAATGTACAGTGTAACAGAAAAAGAGTAGTGACAGTACTTCTGTTAATCCCTATAATACAGACCATCTGTAAACACAAGTTCCTGTGTGGTGAACAGATCTATTGATGGGGTGATTATGAAGATCTTATCCATAACATACAGGTCATGATCATGTGTGATGAATACATGTTTTTTCTGACAGTCCATGTGTGATAAACACTTGTCTATGATTCCAACAGTTCATGTCTCATGAATACATGTGTATTTGTACAGTTCATACCTCATAAATACATGTCTATCCCATGACAGTTGACATACAAACATGTGTAATGAACATGCATCTGTTTTCTCTGATAGTTCATACATATACAGCCAGCAACTCTTCGGCGGTCCTCCCGCTGCTGCGAGCAACAGGTTAAAAAAATCTGTCATTTGGCGGGCGACTGAGTACCAAATCACCTGAAGCTAACTGTATTTGGTGAACACCTGTCTATTCTAAGTCCTTGTGTGATTAATTAAACGCCTGACTATTCCGACAGTTCATGTGTGATGAACACCTGTCTATTCTTACAGTTAATGTGTGATGAACCCCTGTCTATTCTTACACAGTCCATGTGTGATGAACACCTGTCTATTCTTACACAGTCCATGTGTGATGAACACCTGTCTATTCTGACAGTCCATGTGTGATGAACCCCTGTCTATTCTTACAGTTAATGTGTGATGAACCCCTGTCTATTCTTACACAGTCCATGTGTGATGAACACCTGTCTATTCTTACACAGTCCATGTGTGATGAACACCTGTCTATTCTTACAGTCCATGTGTGATGAACCCCTGTCTATTCTTACAGTTAATGTGTGATGAACCCCTGTCTATTCTTACACAGTCCATGTGTGATGAACACCTGTCTATTCTTACACAGTCCATGTGTGATGAACACCTGTCTATTCTGACAGTCCATGTGTGATGAACCCCTGTCTATTCTTACAGTTAATGTGTGATGAACCCCTGTCTATTCTTACACAGTCCATGTGTGATGAACACCTGTCTATTCTTACACAGTCCATGTGTGATGAACACCTGTCTATTCTGACAGTCCATGTGTGATGAACCCCTGTCTATTCTTACAGTTAATGTGTGATGAACCCCTGTCTATTCTTACACAGTCCATGTGTGATGAACACCTGTCTATTCTTACACAGTCCATGTGTGATGAACACCTGTCTATTCTTACAGTCCATGTGTGATGAACCCCTGTCTATTCTTACAGTTAATGTGTGATGAACCCCTGTCTATTCTTACACAGTCCATGTGTGATGAACACCTGTCTATTCTTACACAGTCCATGTGTGATGAACACCTGTCTATTCTGACAGTCCATGTGTGATGAACCCCTGTCTATTCTTACAGTTAATGTGTGATGAACCCCTGTCTATTCTTACACAGTCCATGTGTGATGAACACCTGTCTATTCTTACACAGTCCATGTGTGATGAACACCTGTCTATTCTGACAGTCCATGTGTGATGAACCCCTGTCTATTCTTACAGTTAATGTGTGATGAACCCCTGTCTATTCTTACACAGTCCATGTGTGATGAACACCTGTCTATTCTTACACAGTCCATGTGTGATGAACACCTGTCTATTCTTACAGTCCATGTGTGATGAACCCCTGTCTATTCTTACAGTTAATGTGTGATGAACCCCTGTCTATTCTTACACAGTCCATGTGTGATGAACACCTGTCTATTCTTACACAGTCCATGTGTGATGAACACCTGTCTATTCTGACAGTCCATGTGTGATGAACCCCTGTCTATTCTTACAGTTAATGTGTGATGAACCCCTGTCTATTCTTACACAGTCCATGTGTGATGAACACCTGTCTATTCTTACACAGTCCATGTGTGATGAACACCTGTCTATTCTGACAGTCCATGTGTGATGAACCCCTGTCTATTCTTACACAGTCCATGTGTGATGAGCCCCTGTCTATTCTGACAGTCCATGTGTGATGAACCCCTGTCAATTCTGACAGTCCATGTGTGATGAACCCCTGTCTATTCTGACAGTCCATGTGTGATGAACACCTGTCAATTCTGACAGTTAATGTGTGATGAACCCCTGTCTATTCTTACACAGTCTATGTGTGATGAACACTTGTCTATTCTGAAATGGTTCATGTGTGATGAACCCCTGTCTAATCTGACCCAATCCATGTGTGATGAACCTCTGTCTATTCTGACCCAGTCCATGTGTGATGAACACCTGTCAATTCTGACAGTTAATGTGTGATGAACCCCTGTCTATTCTTACACAGTCCATGTGTGATGAACACCTGTCTATTCTGAAATGGTTCATGTGCGATGAACCCCTGTCTATTCTTACACAGTCCATGTGTGATGAACCCCTGTCTATTCTGAAATGGTTCATGTGTGATGAACACCTGTCTATTCTGAAACGGTTCATGTGTGATGAACCCCTGTCTCTTCTGAAAGGGTTCATGTGTGATGAACACCTGTCTATTCTGAAATGGTTCATGTGTGATGAACCCCTGTCTATTCTGAAATGGTTCATGTGTGATGAACCCCTGTCTATTCTGAAATGGTTCATGTGTGATGAACCCCTGTCTATTCTGAAATGGTTCATGTGTGATGAACACCTGGCTATTCTGAAATGGTTCATGTGTGATGAACCCCTGTCTATTCTGAAATGGTACATGTGTGATGAACACCTGTCTATTCTGAAATGGTTCATGTGTGATGAACACTTGTCTATTCTGACAGTCCATGTGTAATGAACACCTGTCCATTCTGACAGTCCATGTGTGATGAACCCCTGTCTATTCTGAAAGTCCATGTGTGATGAACCCCTGTCTATTCTGACCCAGTCCATATGTGATGGAACATGCACCTGTCTATTTTGACAGTTCATTTGTGGTGAACACCTGTCTATTCTGACAGTCCATGTGTGACAATTTAATTTAACGAACGTCTTCTAGTAATGCTGAGTTTTTAATTCATTAAAAAACAAATGCTAGGCAGTTGTATAGTGAATTTGTTTAGGGATACATTACCAAGGGGAAGGTTGATATGTAATTGTGTTGTACATGTAGGTGTTATTGTTGATCAAGGATGGTGTAATTAACAAGTTACCGATTCAGTATACAGAATACTCCTCAGAATCCAGCTGTAGCAACTCTTCCTTGTTATTCTGGTTGTCTGAAAATAGAATCATTGCAGTATGTTTTCAGGAGAAATGTGATATTGTTAATCCCTACATGAAAACATGTTACCTTACACAACACAAATTTCTGTTAAAATGGCAAACAATTATGTTTTGTCTCCTTATATGTGTTACAGTATTAACAGGTGACTTGTTTGTATAAAACAAAGAACGTTTGTGTTATATTCCATTTTATAGAAATGGCCTGATCCTAAAAATAAAGGGCATGTCTCAGATAAACATGAAAAGTTGATTCAACCTGCACAACATATATATATATATATAAAACACTTTCCATTTTCATTCCATTTTTCCACTGCACATTAAGGAGACAAAACATAATTGTTTGCCATTTTAACAGAAATTTGTGTTGTGTAAGTTAATAATTTTCTATGTGGATCCATCAACTCCTAGCTGTTACTCTTTACATATGTTATAAAAACATTTACATGTAATTAATGCTTTGACTGTTTTTCCAGGAAGCGGCGCTAGCCTATGTTGTGATAAGGGAATATTTACTTTGTGTTTGAGAGGAAATTTTTCCTTGTAACTGAGGGAACATTTTTACTTTGTGATTGAGAGGAATATTTCCATTGTAACTGAGGGAAGATTTTTACTTTATATTTATAGTAATACTTAATCCTAAATTGATTTTTCACCTTAAGATCTAGACCCTACAGTGTAATTATGTATTCCTTTTGCTGTGATATCCCTGTGGCGGGTGCATTCTTTAATTACCGTAAGATCTAGACCATACAGTGTAATTACGTATTCCTTTTGCTGTGATATCCCTGTGGCGGGTGCATTCTTTAATTACCGTAAGATCTAGACCCTACAGTGTAATTATGTATTCCTTTTGCTGTGATATCCCTGTGGCGGGTACATTCTTTACCCTAAGATCTAGACCATACAGTGTAATTACGTATTCCTTTTGCTGTGATATCCCTGT